AGAGAGATGCATTATCATTGTCCACAGAAATCATTGATTCCTTAAAGGCAAACTTTTTTTTGGGTTAAAGGGCAGTTCAGTTTACGTCACATGCAATATGAATACAATTCTATATATGATCAGAGACAGCCTAATGGAACTTGCACCAAATATAGATAATTTGGTCTTTAAAATTTGTTGATGGGCATCCAAGTTAAGAATGGTAAACTTCAGTTCTGCAGGTCCAAGTATCCTGAATAGTTGGGAACTCTGAGGAGGTGTGCTCAGGAATCAACTGCCAATTTCTGGGCCCTTCAGTTTTATGTCATCATATGCGGCCCGCAGGGGTTGTTTGCAAAGCAAGCAAATTATATTACTCGAAATTTATGTTGATATATCCGTTAAGGGATGTTTTTTTTTTTTAAAAAAAAGAGATTCATTAGATTCCAATAGCGTCAAGGATTACATAGCGTCAAGAGATTCATTTGACGTAAAATACATTGGGATCTCAGTAATTGGCTAAAATCCCGTGAGCCTCGTTGAGCATCAATCCGATGGTTGAGACGTCTTCCTAACTATTAGCGAGTCGATCCATATGAAAATTGCATCACCTTCAATGATCGTGTGCTGCCACCTGTTTTCAATTACAAATTTAAGACCTTGGGTAAAAGCGATGGCTTCTATCGATTCAGCCAAGAAAGGGGCCACCATGGCATTGTTGCCCCTTCAACTAAGTTGATAGCTGCTAAAGCTTTGGCCGTACAAAACACCCTATTAACATTAATCTAAATGAAGTTAGGCAAAGGTCGGTTCCAAACTCTTGAGCATCTTCAGCTCTGGGGGCCAGAGGTCATTCCTAGCTTCGGAGAATTCATAGTAGAAACTCCACGCTGCAATCATTACCAGGGTTTCAAATCGCGGTCACGGTCGCGTTTTTCGTTATTTCGGATTTACCGTGATTGCAGACTTCACGGGTAAATCGGACGGCGGCGAAACCGCTATATCGCGGCCGAAATCGCTGTCGCAGACTGTTTTTTAAAACCCTGATCATTACATCTCTATCCTCTTGCATTTCACCTTCGTGGATCCACTTGTTCCTTCTATTCTAGATGTTCCAATGTAACACATGTCTCGAGAGACCTTCACGGTCCAGCTGAGATGCAGATCATTCCAGTCAGTCTCTGCAAGAGTCCCCTTGCCAGTCAACAAATGTGGTTTTAAGCCCAGAGATCAACAGAGTAGATCGCGCTTTAGGGCAGTCTTTAAGGGCGTGAACCGTTGAAATCATGGCTTCACCACAAAGAGAGCAACCTCCACCAGCAATGCGGACATTTTTGAGTTTTTCACCAGAGGGGATCGCATCATGACACTCTCCAAATTGGGATATAATACTCTTGATTTATCCTATACATACATATAATAATCCATGCATGAATTGAAAAAACAAAGTGGGAGAATTTTCTGATTTTCCCTTGATCCCAAGGAAGTCCCTTGTGAAGAAGCAGCCAGTTGTACCCGGATTTTGCCGAAAAGCAACATGTGGTGTGGTGGCTCCAAATCAGTCTATCGTTACGGGAGGGAGCTATAAGGATACTCATCACTCTACTTGTGTCCGATGTCAGAAATCGTTTGGTATTTCCCTCATCCCACCAAGGAACTCCCGATAGAATGAAATTCGAACATTTGAAGGGATGCTCCGCATTATCTATATAGGAACTTGACAAAGAAATAGGGGAAGCATCCCCCGGATCCAAGAAAATCTTGCCTCACCTTCATACCTGACTCTCCAGAAGAAATCGTCTTTCAGTGCCTCCTTTATCTTGTAAATACTTGACCAAGCATGGGAAGCTTGATCCCCCAACTTGGCTTCCATTTTTTAATCTCGGGAATTATTTAGTTACATTTTCAATACAAGAAGTATATAAAATAAGGTTCTTTTAAAGATGTTCGACTCTTAGATTATTAGCCTGTAATCTTTTCTCCTTTATCTGCAATTTTTATTCTTCTTCTGAGGGTAAATGCTATTAAATAGAAGTCTAGAACAATAGTGTAAATCAACATGTTTGATGAACTATTCATGTAACGTTCATTTATTAAGTTAAATAAAAAAGCATGTTTATTGACTCGATTACAAACACATTTTTGACTTGTTTATAAGCTCATGTACTCGGTTTTACTTTTTCTTTTATTTTTTATATTTTAAATATTGGTGAAATCATTCTCGTTAGTCATAGGCATGGGCTTCACCTAGTCGTGGAGCCACAATCTCCGAATTTTCTTCGATTAATTAATTATTTTATTGATGATGTCTACTTTGAAATTTTTCGTGCTTATTATGAATCTTCTTTAATTAGTTACTTATTTTACGAACCGTGCTTACCTTAAAATTTTATTTGTACTTATCCCATTCAAAAATTTTATGATGCCAATATATGTATACACACCTTTAAAAAAATATTTCTAAATCCGCACTTCCACTCCACCTATTTCTTTCCTTTATTGACTAACGAAGTGAAGCGTAATTAAGGGTCTGTTTGTTTAGCTGTAATTGGTTTTCCAGAAAATGAATTACTGGAATTTGAATTACTGGAATTTGAATTACTGGAATTTGAATTCTGGAAAATGAATTACATTTTTGTAAAATGAATTACATTTCTGGAAAATGAATTACATTTCTGGAAAACATTTGGAAAACGTTTTATGATGTTTGGAAGATGTTATTTAAACATTTTTTCGGTATATTTTAGTGAAATAAAATTTTATAAATTATATTAATTATTTATTAAAATAATAGTACTATATTATATTTTAAAAATATTAATTAGTATATTTTAATATCTTTACTAAAATATTATTGAAATATATAAATAATATTATTCATTATTAAATATATAAAAAATTTATATATTATTAAAATAAAAATATAATATCTTATATTATATATAATTGATTATTTATATAATATTAAAAATATATTATATTATTATAAATATTAATAAATATATTTTAAATATTTTAATAATTAATATTTTGATGAAAATGATATTAAAATATTTTATTAATATTAAATTCATAAAATAAAATTATTTTGAGTATTTTTGCTTTGAAGTGAAAAGTTCGGAAAATGACTTACGGAAAATGAATCCGTAAGTCATTTTACAGAAAACACAAAGGAAATTCTGTTACTAGGAAAATGAATTACATTCCGGAAAACGAATTACGTGAAACAAACACGGGAAAACGTTTTCCGGAAAACGAATTACGTGAAACAAACACGGGAAAATATTTTCCGAAAAACGAATTACGTGAAATAAATACGGAAATTCGAGGAAAACCAATTCCGTAATTTCAATTACGGGAAACAAACGGACCCTAAACAACAATCTAATAAGTAGATCGCTACACAATTTTTCATCCATTAAGAAAAAAAGGTGATTGGTGCACAACTGAAAAATCATAAAAATAAAATGTCGGTATCAATGCGTCGTTAGTGCAAGAACCAACTGCAAAAAGTCACGTACATCTCGCAAAATAATATGGTCTGATGCACTGAATCCCATGAGGATAATTTTAATAAAATGATTAGATTAAATTTAATTTAATAAGTTAGGGGGGAAATAAAAAATTTTATACGCCCATTATTTAAAACAAAAAAAATTATGAGTCTATTTGGTTCTAGAAAATATAAACTATTTTTATTTTCTTAAAAAATAGAAAAGATTGAATAAAACATACTTAATTATAAAATTAGAAAATGATTTGTAGACAATGAAAACAAAAATAAGTGAAATATAAAAACTATTTTCAATATTTTCAATAACATTATTTTTTGAAAATTTGAAAAATAGAAAAACACGAGATATTTTAACTTAACTTATAAGAATTCAAATCTTTTAACAATAATTTTTTTAGTTAATGGTATCTGAAAGCCTTAAAATTTTTGCAAAAAGTCAATATGCTCCTTAAACTTTTTTCACACTCAGTTTGGTCCTTAAACTAAACATTTCTAATAATTTAATTTTGTAGTATTTTATATTTAATGTATTAAATATCTTAATAAGTGTTTATATTTTCTATTTTAAATTTAAATAATTTTTTCTAAAAAATTAATTAAGTCTTTAAACTTTTTAAAAGAACCAATTAGGCCCTCGAACTTAGCCAAAAATCAATTAAGTCCACGTATCACATTATCATCCATCATGTACCACCACAACAGCATCATGAACTATTACATCAGTATTGTAGATTGTCTTTGTGAATTATCATGCATGCACCATAATAGTCAATGTTTGATTTCGTTAGTGATTAGATTTTTTTTATGTTTAACGGTCATATTGAGTGCAATAAAAATTTAAAGGCTATACTAATTTAATCCTCAAAAACATGTGGGTATTAGATACCACTAAACTTATTTTTATTTTAATGATATTTTTGTATGCTCGTATTTAGAACAATATTTTTTGTGTGTTTCTTTTAATTTAATTGATGTCAAATATGCATTAAGATTATATTCATATTATAAACTAAAATAATTTTTATTTTATAAATTTTTTTTATCAATTTTATTATTTTATATTTGCATAACTTACCTAGTAAAGTTATGTAATAAGTTTTTTAATGACTATATTTTAATATAATTATTTAATAACTATTTGTTCATCTCTATTTTTAAAAAGTAAATACCAATTATATTTTAACTATTTTTATTTTTGAATTCAAATTTTTATTTATATTATTTTTTTTTAATTTTTTAAAACTATTTTCTAAAAATAAAACAGAAAATATTTTCTAATTCTAAAACCAAACGGCCCTAAGATTTTATACCCAAAATTTTGAATCCGCCACTGTATCTGCCAGATGAATAATCATTACAACTAAATGGAAAATAAGAATAAATCTTGCCATCTCAATACCTATCAATATATATATATATATATATATATATATATATATATATATATATATATATATATATATAGATGACAAAATGAGCTAAAGGGAATGTTACAAAAACCCTAAACAAACCTCGGAAGATCTCCCGGTGCTTTCCTCTGAACTCTACGTAACAATTTGATCAATCAATACACGAAAAACTGCTTGTTAACCGATATTTGGATTACATTCTTCAAGCAGGAGCTGATACCCTTGGTGCCACATTCTTGGCTGCTGCATTGAACGGTGGTTCACCAGAGCGGTTCACACGGACTCCATTACGCCCCATGTGCTCACCCCTCTGATACCCATCTCCACGATTTGAATATCCTCTACTGATGCTCCTGTTACCAAACTCACGTCGGCTATAGCCCCTTCCACCACCACCATAGTTTCCACACCACCTGGCTCCCTCATTTCTTAATAACATTTGAATGCAAAAATAAATGTAAGTTTAACATTTGAATGCACCTTTGTGTCAGATTATAGCTTTTTCTAAACTCTAATAGGTATCAGCAAAAGATAATGAAGAGAGAAGGGGAAGAAACAATATTTCGTCCTAAATACCACTAAAACCTTAAGTTAATTCAGTAAACACAAGAAATGTACAATTACTTTCTAAAAGTAATTCACTTAAAATCTAGACACAATTATATCTTCAGCCGAGCAATTTTCAAGGGAACAGAAATAGAAGCCAAATCAAAAGCTGAAGCAAAACCTTCATGCCGGCAACAAAAGCAAGTTCTAATGCAGAAATTGTTACCACCCATGCATATGTATATCAAAAAGTATGTAAACTAATAGTATAATGTTAAAAAATAATGAAAAGGTGTCATCACAGGACTAGGAAAAAACTGAAAATACCTCTATAGCACTTTGCACAGAACTTGCCATTTCAAATTCCACAAAACCAAAACAGAATCCCTGTAGTTAAATACAGAGAAAATGTTAATCGACTACATAGGCACAATTTCATACATTAAAAATGAGTACCTACCTTTTGATTTCGAACTTGAATACCATCGCTCTTGATAGGTCCAAACTTCTTAAACTCATTCTCCAGCATGCTAGGTGTAGCATTCAAGGGCAGACCTTTGACATAGATAGAGGGACCCTTGGCTGTCCACAATCAAAAGAATGTTCATGTAAATAGGATCCACAGGTTGATATAATAACACTAAAAAACCACAGTAATGCACATAACAAATAAACTGCATGCTAAAAATTTTAAAACCATGCTTTATTGACAAAACCAAGGACACCTTCCGAATCATGATTATACCCATTCTCTGTAACATTGTTGCTAGAAATTTGTTCATCAGATGCAGAGGCTGGAGCAGTAGGTGACGCACCAATTCCAAGACGCCCATGGCTCTTAACTGCATACATCACGAGGGAACGTGTAGGAACTGATGAAGGAACTGCATTCTCTTTCAAAACCCTTTCCTAGAGAAATAATAGATGAGACTAATTAAAACTGTATATGAAAAGAAAAACAGCACCAAGTAATCTCAAGACGGTTAGAAGCATATTAAGTTGCATTATCGTACTTAGTACTCACAATAGATGCATATGATTTCTTTGGCAGTTCCTCAGTTTTGGGCTTAGAATCAGAAAGCATCTGCGAATCACCAGGAAACTCATCAACAACCTCTGCCACTGGCGCTTCCTCTTCAATAAAACCATCTTCATTCTCAGAAGGATTGCATGTTTCTGGTCCATTACCTTCTTCTGGCAATGCAGTGGATTGCTCAATGTGATTCTCTAGAGCAAGAGAAAGGTCTGCAGACAAACAATAATATCAATCGGAGAAAAGCATTATAATTCTGTATTTTAAAAGTCAGTCATGGACTCTGGATTTCATATTACCCTGCTCAGGAGTAAGAGAAGCTTCAGTGTAACCCCTAGACCCAGCCTATGCGTTTTGACTAAGTCTAACGAATTACATTAAAAAATTCTTAAAACATTTTCCAAAAAAATAATTTAAAATCATATTACAAACAACAATTATAAAAGTATAATAAATAACGATAAAATCCCAACTTGAAATTTTAAAACTAAAAGTGGCTAAGTAAAACAAAACATATCATAGATCTGAAGTACGGTACATAGAATATCAATAGCAAAATGCAGTAAACATCATCATAAAATAAGTACTTCAAAATAAAGGCACATGTCACCATAATTAAAAGTAGTTAGGAAGATAGAAACATTACAACAAAAAGTTCTTCAATAATGTGTTGATCCTCCGAGTGCCAGATTCGGGTGCTTATCCAAAAGTATCTGAAAGGGGGCAAAACAATTTGAAAAGTGAGTTAGGGGCTCAGTGTGTCCCAATAGTGCAATAAAAAACATAATATGTAAAACAATCAAGTAATAGTCCGGTAAAATATCATGGAAATCCTGATAAAGCATAAGTTTTTAAAACTCGTAGTTTACCCTCTTCCCGTACACCATATGCAGTTCCCCAGAACTGCATCCATAGGACTTACCTTATACCCATTGGATATAAGGAGCCAATCTAATAGAGCATCTTGGGGCTTGAGAGCCTACCCAAGAAAGATCCCGGGGCTGCTAGGCCTACCAAGAAAGATTTCAGGGCCGCAGAGACTACCCAAGGGTCGCCTTAGGTCCGTAAGAATTTACCAGCTTGATCAGAGTTGAACCTCCATTCTTCATCCTACCCAAAGAAAACGTTTCAATAAAAAAATTCGCATAATGAGCAGTAATTTAAATTATCAATATTCGGCAAAATCATATTTACAAGTGAAAACAAATATTCAAATATCATGCATCATTCAGTCATAGCCCATAAATCATCAATCAGTAAATCATGATTTTTAGTTAAACATATTTCAAATCAGATAAAATAATCGGGTAGCACATAGGGAACACACCTCGTAAAATAGGGGCACACATCAAAACTATTGAGCACCGGCCTCGTCACACTTTACTACAATGCTCGAACCTAATTCATGGCAAGCTGAGTTAATGTTGAAGTAATATTCAAATCGAGTATTCATAAAGTTCACGGTTCATAAGAGTGACTATCGTCTCACCTGGTTAAACGGATCGAGAAGAGCTGGGTTGAGCTGGCGAGCGATCAGATAAGTCTCGAGTACCTTCAAATAACAACAATTAATCAGTCTCAAGTTTTACTTTAATTATTTCGAAATTAAAGCACTTAATTATATAAGCATATTTGGGTTTGACAGTCAATTTGGAGGCTTTTTAGGATTGAATTTGGCGAAACAAACTTCAAAATCGGACTCAGGGAGTCGAAAAACATAAAATAGGACTTTTAAAAAATTTTGACTTTTTCGATCAAAGTTAACGGTCAGACAAATCAAGGTCAACGGTCAGACCGGTCAATGGTTCGAGTCATGTCAACGGTTCGGGTCGGGTCAAACCTGGTTCGGATTTGCCTGGACCAGTTCCAGAAATTTCCTGGACCGGCAGGAGACCACCATACGCACTGCCAGCGCGTGGTGGCGCGTGCAGTGGCGTCCGAGACTCATTTCACCGGCTGATTACTTCCAATTCAATTATGGCCTCAATTTCATCCAAAATTAGTCCAATATCACCAATAAACCAATCCAACCATCACCAATCAACCAATTGTTAACTTACCCAACGGTGGTCGACGACAGCGCATCAACTATGAACAAAACCGGTCGGGTTTTGATCACACGACATCGATGAGTGCAGTGGAGACGACAGTGATGCGAAACAACGTCGGACGCGATTGAAACGTCGAAGATTCACTCGACGATGGGGGGGTTTTTCGACGACTTTGCGTTGGTTGATCCACGACGAACGACACTATTTCTCGATGAAATAGGGGTTGGGTTTTGATTACCGTTCGATGGTGAGTATTTTGGTGGTGGTGGGTAGAGCTGGGGTGGTCGGACGACGACGTATTTGGTCGATAAAGAAGTTGATAAGAAAAGTATAATTTGGAGGTTTAGGGATTGGGTTTAATTTGGGGAATAAATTTGAGGTTAAACCGATCGGGTAAATTTTATTTTTTACTGGGTCTAAAAATGGGCAAATTCGGGTTCTAGTCCTTGAATTCTCTAAAAATTCCTTAAACGGTCTGCAAACTTTGATAATTTTCAATTTAGTACCTAAATTTTAACTTTTTTTATTATTCTATTCTTCTAAAAAAAAATTTTGGGTTGTGACAAATCTCCCCCTCTAAAAGAAATTTCATCCTCAAAATTTACCTGGAGTAAACAAATGCGGAAACTGAGTCTTTATGGATTCCTTTATCTCCCAAGTGGCCTCTGCAGGACCTCGATTACTCCACTGGACCTTTACCATAGGAATACGCTTGTTTCTCAATACCCTCTCATCTCGATTCAAGATCTAAACAAGCTCCTCATCATACGTTAGATCTGGCCTCAACTCAATATCCTCAAACTGAATGATGTGGCTTGGGTCTGAACGATAAAGCCTCAACATAGACACATAAAAGACATCATGAATACGACTGAGCTGGAGAGGCAACTCTATTTGGTATGCAACAGGTCCTACTCTTTTCAAGATACGATATAGCCCAATATATCTTCGACTCAATTTACCCTTGCACCTAAATCTCAACACTTTCTTCCATGAGGATACTTTTAAAAAGACCTGATCTCCAACCTCAAATTGGATATATTTCCTCCTCTGGTCAGCATAAGAATTCTTCCTGTCAAATGCTTCTTTCAGGTGGTCACGAATCAATCTGACTATGTCCTTCGTCTCACGCACTAACTAAGATCCCAAAGTCTTCCGATCACGCAACTCAGTCTAACAGATCGGGGTGCGACATCTACGTCCATAAAGTGCTTCGTACGGTGCCATGCGAATGCTAGCTTGGAAGTTTTTATTGTAAGAAAACTCAGTCAAAGGCAAAAAAGTTCTCCCAACTACAACGAAAATCAATCATGCAGCCCCGTAACATCTCCTCAAGAACTTGAATCACTCGCTCAGATTGACCATCAGTCTGTGGGTGAAATGTTGTACTAAAATTCAATATCGTACCCAGAGCCTCATGTAGTGCCTTCAAGAATCTCGAAGTAAATCTCAGATCTCGATCAGAAATGATAGATAAAGGGACACCATGCAATCTGATAATATTTGAGATATACAATCTAGCCAGTTTGTCCAACGTATAATTTACCCGCACAGGAATGAATTGAGTTGACTTTGTAAGTCTATCAATAATCACTTAGACCGTATCCTTTTTCAAAATGAGTCAAAGGCAACCCCGTAATGAAGTTCATAGTAATACACTCCCATTTCCATTTGGGAATCATGATAGGCTGTAACAAACCCGACAGATGCTGGTGCTATGCCTTAACTTGCTGACAAGTCAAACATCTAGCCACAAAATCAGAGATGTCCTTCTTCATGCCGATCCAATGATACCTCTCTCTCAGATTCTGGCATATCTTATCTCCACCGGGGTGCATAACATATGGAATACTGTGAGCCTCACTAAGGATAACATGTCTTAACTCTAGATCATCAGGCACATAATATCGACCTTTGAAACATAAAACTTCATCTGGGTCAAAAGCATACTCTGAGGTTGTCCCCTACTCTACTTGCTCAATGATGGGAAGCAAGGAGCTATGAAGAGGTTGCTTGGCCTTAATCTCCTCATCCAAGGTCGGTTTAACCTACAATACTGCTAATAAAGTATCATCATCATATAACTTCATCTTGACCATTAAGGACCTCAAGTCAGTTATCTCCTTCCGACTCAAAGCATCCGCAATGACATTAGCTTTACCCTGGTGATAATCAATCATGCAATCATTGTCCATCAGAGGCTCAAGCCAATGACGCTGCCTTAGATTAAGTTTCTTCTGGGTCAGAAGATACTTCAAACTCTTATGATCCGTAAAAATGTAACATTTCTCTATAAAGATAGTGTTTTCATTTCTTTAAAGAAAAGATTATTGTTGCCAACTCTAAGTCATGGGTCAGGTAATTACACTAATATGGGCGCAGCTGACAGAATGCATAAGCTACTACCTTACCCTCCTGCATCAAAACACAGCCATGTCCAGAGTGTGAAGTGTCACTATACACTGTAAAATCTTTTCCGGGCTCATGTTTAGTCAAAACTGGAGCCTAAGTCAAAATCGTCTTTAATTTCTCAAAAGCTCTCCTATTGTGCATCGCCCCAGTCAAACAGAACATTCTTCCTCATAGTTTCGTCAAACAAGAAGCAATGATCGAGAAACCCTCGAAAAAACATCAATAATATCATACTAAACCCAAGAAATTGCGAACCTCTAAGACATTATTGGGTCGCTTCCAACTCACAGTAGCCTCAATCTTGCTCAGATCGACCTGGATACCTCTTACAGAAATAATATACCCAAGAAATGACACCTCCTGAAGCGAAAATTCATACTTGCACAACTTAGAATACAAACGATGCTCTCTCAGGGTTTATAGAATAATCTTCAAATGCTCGTCATGTTCTGTCTCAGTCCGAGAATAGACCATAATATCATCAATGAAAACTACTACAAACTGATCCAAATATAGATGGAACACACGATTCATCAGGTCCATAAAAGATGCGGGAGCATTCGTCAAACCAAAAGGCATCAGCAAGAACTCATAATGCCCATATTTAGTGCGGATAGCAGTCTTCGCAATATTTGAACCCTTAATTTTTAACTGATAGTACCCCGAGCGAAGATTGATCTTAGAAAATACAGTAGCTCATCGTAATTGATTGAATAAGTCATCAATCCTGGGTAGTGGGTACTTATTCTTAACCGTCAACTTGTTCAACTTCCGGTAATCAATGCATAGCCTCAGCGATCCATTTTTTTCACAAACAGGACTGGAGCTCCCCAGGGTGAGGTACTATGTCTGATAAAACCTCGATTAAGTAATTCTTGTAACTGAACCTTTAACCCCTTAAGTTCCTTCGGGGCCATGCGATAAGGTGCCATGAAAACAGGTGTAGATCCGAGATAAGTCTCAATCTCGAACTCTACCTCTCTATCAGGAGGTAACCCTGGTAACTCCTCTGGAAAGACATCGGGAAACTCGCTAACTGTATGAATTTATTTAATCTTGGACAATGAACCTTTAGTGTTCAAAATACAGTCAATGAAAGTATCATAACCCTTCTGGACCATTCAATTAATAACCAAAGCCGATATTATATTAGAAAGATAGTCACGACGCTCACCAACTAACACAACAATTTGACCATCAGAAGTCTTCAAAGTAACTCTCTTGTACTCGCAATCCAAATTGACCCTATGTTCATTCAAACAATTTATCCCCATAATTAAATTGAACTCCTCTAAAAAACTCCATAAGGTCGACGTGAAAAATTGTACCTTGAACCTCCATAGGATAACGCCGGAATACCATACTCACAACCACTGATTATCCTACTAGAGTCATAACCATAATAGCACTATCGGTGTCCTCAATCAGAATCTGAAGGTCTCGTGATACTTCACTTGATATATAGGAGTGGGTGGAGCCATTGTCTAGTAATGCAAAGTATGTGACAGAATAAATGGTAAATGTACCTGCAATAACCTCTGGCTCATCTTTGTCATCCCGACGTCGGGTGGCATACGCTAAAGTTGATTGTTTGGCCTCTAAAACTGTTGTTCCTCGGCTTTGCTAGGATCGGGCTCTA